TTCCAAGCACCTACCCACTGAGGCACTCCAAGCACTTACCCACCGAGCCACTCCAAGCACCTACCGACCGAGCCACTCCAAGCACCTATTCCGGCCGAGCCACTCCTAGCACCTATACCGACCGAGCCACTCCAAGCACCTATACCGACCAAGCCATTTCAAGCACATATACCGACCGATACACTTCAAAACAAAACACCGATCAAGCCACTCCAAGCACCTACTGATCGAGTCGCTCCAACCACCTACTGACTGAGCCGGTCTAACCACCTACCCACCGTGCCACTCGAAGCACCTACCCATTGAGCCACTCCAAGCACCTACCCATTGTGCCACGCCAATCACCTACCGACCCCGCTACTCCAAGCACCTACTGACCCTGCGACCGGTAGACGCCGCGGAGGCTCCCGGTCTAGGAGTCAAGTCGACCCCAACGCTCCTCCATGGGAGAAAGCGGGTCTTACAGAGGACGTGTGGAGAGATCGTTACTCACGACAGGCCTGTATTGGTTGTGGTCAATACGGCCACAGCCAATTCAAGTGTCGCAATAAGAAAGTGACAGAAAAGATCCCGCCTACGATGGGGCAGGTGCTGGGATCCTCTCATCCCGTTGGTAGCAACGTTGCCAGCACTTCAGGCAGTGCTCCGGGGAACACGTCGGGCCAGTAGGAATAGTAGTTGTTCCTGCTAGGGTCGAGGTGGTGGAGACACCCTCCCCATCTTGAGAGATGGCCCAAGCTACTGACTCCCATGTCGTCCCGCAAACACATTCATACCCATCGAGCCTCTGTTCGATGAATGTGTTTGAGTCCTTAGAGGAGTTAGAGGTGGAGTGGTCTAGATCAGACCCACTAGCTTCTTGGACGGCACTAGTCAAAGCCCCGAAGGGTGAGAAGTTCGTTAGCGAGGTTGTCATTGGTAGTCGCAAGGCCGGGGCCTATTATGACACTTGCTCGACTAGGAATTTATTAGTCGCTATGCGTTGAGAGGCTGCGTTTACAGGGGCGAGTGTAGCGCCTGAGTCGACCTGTGGAGTCGACCTGTGCCAACAAACAGCGAATGGTAGTTAACGACTACCTCCAGGATGTTGAGTGTTGTTTCCCGTACGCAGGAGGGGACTTGAGACATCGTGTCTCGTTCCTAGTAAGTGACGAGCTCCCAATGGATATGTTACTAGGTATGTACTACCTCTCTGTAGCACAACCCCAGTTTGACTGGGACCGAAAAGTGGTCAAACACACTTTGCCAGGTGGAGGGACCGCCAGATTACATAAGTTCAAAGCTAGTAGTCTGATTGAGTCCTATGGGTGCATGTGTGCGGCCGCGTTCTACAATTATTATAAGCAAAATCACGAGGAGGGTATGTATTTAGTCTATGTCTCTGCTGCAGGCGAGCTGGTGAAAATGCCGCCCGAGATAGAGGGAGTAGTTGCTAAGTACCCTGATCTATTTGAAGAGCCGACACGAGTTGTTGAGAGGGAGGTCGTCCACGCAATAGAGATTATCCCAGGGTCTAGTATCCCGAAGGGTAGGATCTATCGGATGTCTCCAGGCGAGCTTGATGAGCTTCGCCGCCAACTCAAGGAACTCGTAGAGAAGGGTTGGATGCGGCCGAGTGTCTCTCCTTATTGGTCTCCAGTGTTATTCGTACCTAAGAAGAAGGAGGGTACTCTTAGGATGTGCATTGACTATAGGGGCCTCACTGCCATCACTGTAAAGAATAGAGAGCCCCTACCACGCATCGACAATCTGTTAGATAGAATGAAAGGGTGTCAGTACTTCAGTAAGATAGATCTGAAGTCCGGGTACCATCAGATTGCAATCCGGCCCGAGGATCAGCACAAAACCGCTTTCCAGACCAGGTACGGTCTGTACGAGTTTGTGGTGATGCCTTTTGGCCTTTGCAATGCTCCTGGCACCTTTCAGCACGCTATGAATCGGATATCCCATGACTACTTAGATAAGTTTGTCATCGTGTACCTCGATGACATACTTATTTTAGTAAGACTATCGAGGAGCACGTTGCACATTTGGACAAAGTCCTCAGCCTCCTGCGACAACACAAGTTCAAGATCAATGGTGAGAAGTGTGAGTTTGGCCGCACCCGTGTCTTGTACTTGGGTCATGAGATCTCCGCAGAAGGGTTGAAGCCTGATAACGCGAAGGTGACCAGCATTCGTGATTGGCCACGTCCTCAGTCTGTGACTGAGATGAGATCTTTCTTAGGAATGACAGGCTACTATAGGACTTTCATTAAGAACTATAGCATAGTGGCCGCTCCTTTGACTAATCTGACCCGCCTTGACACCCCATGGGAGTGGACAGATGAGTGCGAGGCTGCTTTCAGACATCCGAAGCATGCGTTGACACACTGCGAGGTCTTAAAACTTCCTGATCCTGACAAGTCATTCATAGTCACCACGGATGCCAACCAATATGGCATTCGCGCCGTGCTCGTGCAGCAGTAGGGGCCAAAGTTGAGGCCTGTAGAGTACATGTCCAAGAAAATGCCGTCTCAGAAGTTGGCCAAGTCCACCTATGAGAAGGAACTCTATGTGGTTTACAAGGCTCTGACCCATTGGAGACACTATCTCCTTGGGAGATTCTTCATCCTCAGAACTGATCATCAGACCCTGAGATGGATGAGCACTCAGCCTCTACTTTCTGACACCCTCAAGTGTTGGATCAAAGTCATCGAGTAGTATGACTTTGACCCTCAGTATCTGAAAGCGGAGTATAACAAGGTTGCGGATGCCTTGTCGCGTAGACCTGATTTCTCAGGTGCGCTGATTACTGAGTTCGATCTGACGGACCATGTTACTCAGTCCTTGGTGGAAGCCTATCACGAGGACCAGTTCATGTTTGAGGTAATACGTAGACTTCAGGCAAAGGACAAGAAGACCTCTGCCGAGTTTGAGTTGGTCAATGGCTTGTTGTTCCTTGAGAAGGCAGGGAATAAACGATTGTGTGTTCCCAATAGCGAGTCTTTGCGTAGTTTGTTTTTAGGCGAGTGTCATGATGCCATCGGCCGTTTTGGGTATAAGAAGACCGCAACCAACTTGCTGCAGCGGTTGTGGTGGCCCACGATGATGCGAGATGCCCAGCTGTACGTGGAGACTTGTCAAGTTTGTCAACGGGACAAGCCACGTACTCAGGCTCCTCTTGGGCTTCTGAAGCCCCTTCCGATTCCGGAACGGCCTGGTGAGAGTCTGTCCATGGATTTCATGGATACTCTGATCACCAGCAAGAGTGGGATGCGTCACATCTTCGTCATCGTGGATAGATTTAGTAAGTATGCTAGGTTAGTAGCCATGCTGGGAACAACAAAGACAGAATACGTAATCCGAATGTTCAAAGAGAACTGGGTTAGAGATTTTGGTTTACCGAAGTCTATTGTTAGTGACAGGGATGTCAGGTTTACCAGCGAGTTGTGGAAGGCCGCTGCTATAGAGCAGGGCGCACAGTTGCAAATGACTTTTGGAAATCACCCAGAGGCCAACGGCTAGGCCGAGCAACTGAACCGCGTTGTACAACACCTGTTGAGGCATTACATAAAGCCCAACCAGGTGGACTGGGATGAGAAGCTTGCACTCATCGCCAGTCTTTATAACAATGCGGTACACAGTGCCACCGGAGTGAGTCCGAACAGTTTGCTACTGACTTTCAAACATAGACTACCCTTGGATTTTCTCCTTCCTGAGAATCAGTCGATAGTAGCACCACGTACCTTAGAATTTGCTTACCGTTATGAACAGAAGATACAACAGGCTGTAGAACAAATGCAGAAGGCGCAGGCTGCAATGATCGAGTCTGAAAATAGACACCGTCGGCCTTCTACATTTCAGGTTGGGGACAGGGTCTGGGTTAAGTCTTCAGAACTGGGAGAGGAGTATGGGATCTCCCACAAACTCATGCCCCAGTACTTTGGACCTTGGGAAGTCTTGGACATCGTCGGGACAGATCCGGATGGGCCATCTTACGTTATCCGGATTCCTGGTCATCTCCGTACTTACCCTGTCTTTCACGCCTCCAAGTTGGCACCTTTCAAAGATACTGACCAGTTTCCATCTCGTCGCTCAATGCTGCCCCCAACCATGGATGGAGAGGTGGACATCGATGATATTGTGGATCACAGAGAGCTGTCGGTATCAAGACCAGCAGGCAGGGGATGTCCTCCTAAACCGAGGCTGCAGTATCGCGTTCGGTTCCGGCATCACACTGATCCGAAGGAGGACCGCTGGTTCACCAGGGAAGAGCTCATGCAGACCGCTCCTCAAGTTGTAACCCAATACGAGAGATCTCTGCAGAAGGGAAAGCGCCCTATGATCGAAGATTGTGCTTCTCAGAGGACTGTTGAAGCTAAGGAGGAGGGAATGCGAGGCCATTGCCTCTATGAGCCCCATAAGGCCCCATTTTTGCAGCCCGCCGGCCGCCCTAAGTGAAGGCGGGCTCGACAAGGCCCTCAGGGCCCTACTGGCCACACGCAACTTAGGGAAATGCCGGCAGTTGCGCAGCGCCAGTTGGTTGAGTGAACCCAGGCCCTTGGCCGCCTGTGTGAATGTATGTGAAGCAGGCCCTGGGCTGGATTCGGGTACCGGGCCAAACACAGGCCGAAGGCAGTTGGGCACATGCAACCACCTCAGGCCCAAGGCCTGCTCTCGTCGTGCTGGGCCTCAGGCTACCGGGGCCTACTGGAAGCTTCCTGGGACTGGACGCAGGCAGGCCACTTCGATATAGGAAAGGGCCTGCCTCCTCATTCGACATTCGGGTGCTGGCTGCATGTTGCGCAAGCGCTGCTGCTGCGCTATTGCTGGCTGGCGCCTACGCTCTCACGGGCGAGCAGGGAAGAAGCACGCAGCCATAGCCGAGCTGCTCTGCTATAAGCTGGGTGAGGCGCAGGGTGGTCCTTGGGTGCTAGTGGCATCTGTGACTTGGGGAACGAGGTTGTGAGTGTAGCGCGAGACATACCTGGTGCTGGAAGCGTGCGACGGTGGTCGCCATATGCTCGTACTTCGGGAATGCTGTTGACGTCATCTTTCGGCTTCGTAATATAGGCTAGATAGGACCTGCCACATGTAGTCTGGGCGCCGAGCACCAAATAGGATATCAACTCTGGTTCTCCATTGATGATGATGGGACTATTTCAGCATTGTCAATTATGAACTCTTGGTGTGTTCTTATTTGGTGAATCTCGTGATGCAATTTTGTTGTTGGTTCGAGGTCAAGACTATCTGGACTCATATGTATGATGCTGTTTGATTGCTGAAGTTCGCTATTGCTCATCTTCCTTGCAAATGAGTTACAGAAGTATAAATCAAGAGGCAGCGCCCAACCATTCATTCATTCGCTGCGTAAGCCATGCGGAAGCGCTGCTACAGCGTCCTGTGCAAAGGTGGTCTGCAGGTTGCCCGAAGACGAAGTGGGCTGAACGGAGATCGTAGCCATAGTCGGTAGTGGTAGTGCGGCCATAGCCGCTGTAGGAGGAAGTTAGACATAGTGTATGTGTGTGGTGGTATTCAGGGTGATCCAGCGTGTGTGAACAGTGGGGTTGGACATAGTGACGAAGGTTGGGATGTTCAGGCGCTGATGCGCGATAGCCTGTTGAAGAGAACTTGCATCTGAACTATGTTCTTGATTTCCATATCTCGAAGCATTGAGTGGGCGCCCTGCGCAAGTGTGAGTCTCCATCTGTTTGCATGTGTGCGAAGTGGAAAGAAAGCGAGTTTGATTGCAGTATGATCTGTCACAACTTATTAGTGTATGCTTGTTGCCAAGTGCATATCTTAGTTTCGCAGTTATGTCTCAGGGACGTGTGGTTGTTCAAAGTTGTTATCCTTTGAGTGGATGTTGTATTCTCCGTGAGCATTCTTGGATTATTGAATCAGAACTGAAAACAGGAAGTAATAACTAGGCGAAAAGTCTACTATCTACAAGATTTAGCTTCCAGTGCTGACATAAATATATCCCGATCCATATGACCAATCCTGGTTGACCTGTTCTATTCATGTAGACTTTTTCTATACAATCTCTTGGTTTCAAGACTTCTTCAGCTTCCATTAGACATTCGCCAGCTTGTCCATCGAGAGAGAGAGAGAGAGAGAGAGAGAGAGAGAGAGAGAGAGAGAGAGAGAGAGAGAGAGAGAGAGAGAGAGAGAGAGAGAGAGAG